GCGCCCCCGCGTTGATTCAGACGTGGGGTCGCCGCCCGCTCACGGAGGCTGCAGTTGTCACTGTGGACGAGAGCACCCGCCGCGAATGCAAGTTCAGCTGTCGGGATTTCGTTCAAAACATTCGGTTGCACACGTTTGCTTTAGGCTTCGTGTCTTTCGTCGGCGGTGGCATCCGCGCTCGTTCGCCTGCCAGTTCGCCAGCGCCTGGTGCGCATGCGCCGCGCGCGTGCGTCGTGCGTGGCCGACCGCGCCGCGTAGCTGGCCCGCTCTACCCCGCTCAATCTGGCAAGCCCGTGCGTGTTCAACTGTGCCTCCACGGCCCCGCGGAAGCCGCGTCAATGAGACGTGGGTCTTTTTCAAGCCTCAACCGAAGCATTCTCTAGGGCCTGCGTGACATGCTCGTGCAACCGTGCGTTCATCGCGACGCGTGGGCGAGCGCGCAAGACCGTCCCAGGCTCCGCTGCGCCCATTCCCGCGCGTGAATGACATGCGCGATTGCGTGCGGGGGGAACTGGTCAAAACATTGGGTGCCGCTGAGCCTCTGCGCGCTCTGCGCTGCGCTGGCGACGCAGATCGGGGCCCCCGCGCATGCGGCGAGCCATCGTCCTCGGATGCGTCTTGCGTAGCGGTCGGAGATGGACCGCTCCCGCCCCGCTATTTGCTATCTGCGCGAGGGCAGATTCCAGGTCCGCGGCTGGAGCGGGGAACCGCGAGTTGTCACTCCTATCGGAATTCGTCGACACGTTGACTTATCCTTTACTGCGCCCATGCGGAACTTCAGGCTGTTCCACGGCGTTGCACGCAGCGCCACTGCGTTGCAGCGGGCCCGCGAGCCGTCGAATCTCCCTGGTGGAGTTTTATTCGCGCCGCCTCATGCAACGGTGCGACCGCGCCGCCGCCATGGTCGAGCTCTCACGTGGTGGGGGCAGACTCTTATCATGAATGCGTGGTAGATGCGCGTGCGAAGATAGAGTCCAGGAAATTAGGCTGGGTAGCGAACAACCAACACAAACTCCGTTCAGAATGCTCGCCAGGACTTATGGACTATGCTGAGGGCACACATGCGCCCGATGACTTGCAATCACAGCCAGCGAACGCACCGCGCACAGGGAAACCCGCAGTTCTGGTGGCTACGCGTGGATGGGGCAGCGAACCATTCAACAGCTGCGTGTCGACGCACTGCCCTCGGTGGCTCGGTTTGGGGGCCGGACCGTTCAGCGCGCTGTCCGCGCACCTCTTGCCGGCGGCGCGCAGCCAGCGTGCCGCGCCAGCGCGGGCCCGCCTTGGCCCCCTCGCTCTGCCGCCGCCCCCCCGCCGACGCGCGACGGTCCGGAGTGGCGGGGGGGTCGCGCATTGCATTGCGCGAAATTGCCGGGCGGATTGCGGGCTGGGTAGTCGAAGGCCAGACTGTCAGATTGGATTGGGCCCCACGGGCCAATCTGGCCTGGCCACACTGGACGATTTGGGTTATTTGCCAGACTGGATTCGCGTTGGCTCCCTCGCCAGATTGCCCCCGTTTGCCAGATTGGGCCTGCCAGATTGGCTTCGACTACCCAGGCGGGTGCAACGTTCTTGCGCTATTTCCAAAGCAGTGCAGAAACCGACGGAGAGATGGCGGATGCGTCGCGTCCGCGTCATTTGTTGAGCATGCGGACATCCGCGGGGAGATGGCGATGTTTTCGCAGGGCTCTGCGCGCGTATTTCAGATAGTGCAGATACCTTCGGGGACATACATACAGGGCTTGTGAGATTTTTACCAACCGTGAAGGCCACCATAATCATAGTGGATGTAGTGTTATCGTGCCAAGTCTTAAGTGTCGCGAAAAGCAACGGTAGTTCAGTGGACGCAGTTTTTCGGTCAGATCGTTTTCAAATAGTACCAAACTGGAAATGGAACGGCAGGAGGGGAGGGGGAAGTCCACGCAGAGGCACCATGTCCCTGGGCGGTACCCGGGGCGCGGATTTTATTACCATGACGGCCAAACCCAATTCGACCGAGACCGAAAACAGCTTGCGACGTAGCGAAATAACGGGCAACCGGTCCGATCTGGTCTCCAGAGTGTTTCACGCGAAATTCAACATTCTCCTCCACGAGTTGACAGTCAACCACATTATCGGCAGGATGCTGGCTTACACCTACGTGATCGAATTTCACAAGCGTGGGTTGCCATAGTGTCACACCCTATTCATAGTAGCTGTAAGCGCAGGAATCCCATGTCCCACTACCAAGACAAAGCTCTACGAAATCGTAAATACACGCATGGTCCATGGACCCCGCGGGGCATTGAATCCACAGTGCCCGTGCATGGAGAACGGCAAAATTTCCAATCACTACCCAAAGCAATGCCGCGGCACGGCTGAAATCAACGTGAACGGATACCCTGCCTACAGTCGACGGCAATCCAACCCGCCACGCACTGTCAAGAAAGGGCTCCTCGACGCACGGAACGTGGTCCGACGCAACCTCCACGCGCGGCGTGGCCCGCGTGATGGTGACGATCATGATCATGTTCAGGGTGATGATGGCGACGACCATGCTGCTGATGATGATCGTGATCATGATCATGATGATAATGATGATGATGATGATGATGATGAGGAGGAGGAGGAGGAGGAGGAGGAGGATGATGATGATGATGATAATGAGTATGGCGATGGTGATGATGGGAGGGGTTTAAAAGAAGGAGGACTCTGCTGCTGCTGTTGCTGCTGATGATGATGGGGACGAGGACGGTTATGATGAGGATGATGACGTCAATATTGTGGATGGTGATGATGACGATGTAAGTGATTACGATTATGGCACAGATGGCGACTGTGATGAATATGATGATGCGGGCGAAGAGGTCGACGATGCCGATGACACTGCCGATGCGGGTGATTATGGTGCGCAAAAGGACGACGTCGGTGGCGACGATGATGAGGCTGACGATGAGGATGAGGCTGATGATGACGACGATGGTGGTGGGGGTCGAGATGATGACGATCTTGATAATTCCGATGACAACGATGACGACGGCGCTGGTGACGACGACGATGATGACGATGACGATTATGATAGTGGTGATTAGGATGATGCGAATGATGATGACCATGCTTATGATGATGATGATGATGATGATGATGATGATGATGATGATGATGGTGGTGGTGGTGGTGGTGGTGGTGGTGCTGATGATTATGAGGATGATGGTGATGATGCTGACGATGGCGACGACGACGATGACGCCAATGATCACGATGACGGCGGCGACGACGCCGACTTCTCGGGATATCTCCGTGTAGCTCCAAGACGGTCCAGGATAGCACCTACACGAATTTTGAGGCCTCGCAGGCAAGACGCACAGCGGCATAAGCTAACCCCTAGAAGGCCCGGGATATCCGTGGTCGGTGCAAGAAACCAAGAGAGTTTCCAGAAGCAGCGCACAACAGGTTTCCATTTGATTTTGCATGATGTTGTGGCTTCCTGATTCTTGGGCTCGGGGAGGGCTGCTGAGGACGATGAGGAAAGGAGAGCGCAGGACGAGGAGTATCATAAGGGGAAGAAAAGAGAAGGAGGTGAAGGAAGAGAAAGAGGGTGATTTTAAGGAGAGAGGGGAAAGCAGGCGGGAGGAACAGGGGCAGGAGGACGAGGAGGACGAACAGGGATCTTCGAATAGACGGCGTCGAAGAGGAGGATGAGGCGGCAGAGAAGGAGAGGTGAACAGGGGAGATCGAACGGGGAAAGGAGGAGAAAGATGAGGAGGAAGAGAAGGAGGACGAGAAGGGGACTGGAGCAGACGGATGATAATGCTGCTGATGATGATGCTGATGATGATGGTGACGATAATGATGATGATGGTGACGGTGGTGGTGATGATGATGTTGGTGGTGATGATGATGCCGATGGTGATGCTGCTGCTGCTGATGATGATCAGGATGATGATGATGTTGATGATGATGGTGATGATGATGATGATGATGGTGGTGGTGGTGGTGATGATGATGCAGCTGGTGGTGGTGGTGACAGTGACAACGACGATGGCGATGGCGAGTACTATTGTGGTGATGATGACGATGAGGACGGTGACGATGATGATTTTGAGGATGCTGATCCTGGCTAGAACATAAGCGCGTGGTTCTAGTGTGTATTTTTTTATAATTCATGTACATATACATATATATATGTATATATATATAGAGGTGTGCATGTACTTTGTACTATCCAGCCTTAACGACGATTCCATCTCTGCTGTCCAAGCGAAGGCGCGCTCCAGCGCACCTTCTCTGCGATGCTTTCATGGAGTTCAGTTTGCGTTGCGATTGCGGGTGCGAGTGGGGCGCGGCTGATATCTGCAGCCACCTCGGCGCAGGCGCGCCGCACCTGGAGCCATCGTCCGCGTCCGTGGGCAGCCAGCCGACCCCCGGCAGCAATGGACGGCGGCGGCGCGCCGGAAGCGGTCGCTCCAGACACCTGCACCAGTGCGACGTCCAGCGGCAGTGTCTGCGCAGGCTCCTCCCAGGGCGCGGACACGGTCGTCGGCGGCGGGGAGACGCCGGCGACTGCGGCCGCTGAGCAGGCGGCAGCCGTGGTGGTGGCGGCGGCCGGCGGCGATGGCGGCGCCCGGGCGGTGGCGTCGGCCGCGGCGGAGGCCGGCCAGGGTGCGGCTACACCAGGAACGGCGGCCGAGGCGATCGGTGGGGACAGTGGCAGTGGTAGCGCCTGTGCGGCAGCGGCAGCGGCTGGCGGCGAGGCGACAGGCCCGATAGGCCCGAGTGGCGCCAGCCGCGGGAAGCGCAGGAGGCTGGGCGCGAGCTCCATCGCGGCGGGCACTGAAGAGCTGCTGCGTGGGCTGAAAGACATCATGGATACGGGCACGGCGCCCGGTGAGGAGGAGAAGGAGCTGGAGGCCGATGCGGCCGCGATGCTCTCGATGGAAGAGATCGCAGCGGGCGGTTTGGAGGACTTCACGGGGTTTCGCTTCACGGGCCCGCTGCGCCCCGCCCGCAGGACGCCGCGCATGCCCCCACCAGATGGCAGCATCCTGCCCGACTACGCGCTGCACCCGCGCGGGGTGGCGAGGTCGGAGCTGGCCGCCAGGCGACGCCGCGCCATACCAGAGCTGGCTGGCGAGGAGCTGGAGCTGATGCGGGAGGCGTGCCGGCTGGGCCGGGAGGTGCTGGACATCGCGGGCAGGGCCGTGCGTCCAGGGGTGACGGGCGACGAGATCGACCGTGTTGTTTGGGAGGCCTGCGCACAGAGGAAGCTCTACCCAAGCCCTCTGGGCTACAACGGCTTCCCGAAGTCGGTGTGTGTGTCGCCGAACGAGGTCATTTGCCATGGCATCCCAGATCAGCGGCCCCTCGCGGAGGGCGACATCGTCAACTTGGACGTCAGCGTCTTCCACAAAGGGCTCCATTCGGACCTGAATGAGATGTTCTTTGTTGGGAAGTGCGACGAGGAATCGCACAGGCTGGTGCGTGCAAGCTACGACGCACTGCGTGCGGCAGCAGCCGCGATAAAACCTGGTACTCTGTACCGCGATCTCGGTAACATCATCTGCGATGTATGTGCCGAAGCCGGGTGCACGTCTGTTTCTGCTTTCTGCGGGCACGGCGTGGGGAGACTATTCCACGGACCGCCCGATGTGCCGCACTACCGCCGCAACAAGGCGGTGGGGGTGATGAAGCCTGGGCACGTCTTCACGGTTGAGCCGATGCTCAACATCGGCAAGAGCGGCAAGGCCAGACTGTGGCCCGACGATTGGACTCAGGCCCGCCTCCTTCTGCTCCTCCTGCTGCTTCCCCTTTAGGTGTGTGTGTGTGCCCTTCTAGGAGCCTGTGCAGTTGGCCCTAGGCCAGCCGCTGCCCGATGCTCCCCTCGTCGCTCTCGCCCTCGTCGAACCATAGCTGGACTCGATTCGAGGAGTGGCGCTGATATTTCACCTGCATCGTCTCCTCCACGCGGGGAGGCGCGATTCCATCAGCGGGTCGTTGCCCCCTCGGTCGCTCGTTCGATAGCCATGGCCGCTCGACAGACCGTTGACCTCCCTTTAGGAGGCATTGCTGTCAGACACCGTCGTAGAGTGGCCAGATGAGGATTTGGCTCTTTTTTTGATGACGCTCCGCCTCCAGCTGCTGCCCCTCATCCCCTCCAACTCCTCCAGGTCACCACCAACGGGAAGAGGTCGGCACAGTTCGAGCACACGTTCCTCGTCACGGAGGCCGGGGTGGAGGTGCTGACGGCTCGCGTGGGTGCTGAACGCCACTGCATGCCCGAGTACGATGCCGCGGTCTTCCAGCGATGAAAGAGGGACCTTTGGAGGAGGAGGAGGAGGAGGAGGAGGAGGAGGAGGAGGCAAACCAGGACAAGGAGCAGGAACAGGGAGGGGGAGGTACACAGCGTGCACCTCCGATTGCTCCAGGGGGGTGGCAGCCAGATTTCAATGGCCGAGCCTCCATGTAGTCGCCCTGTCCCTGCCACCCTTGCGGCCACCATGGGGCAGGGGCAATCGCCGAGCCTCCCTCCGTCTAGTCGGCCTGCCCCTGCCGCCCTTGCATCCATCGTGGGGTAGGAGCGGAGAGAAGTCAGACGTGAGCTTCCGCGATTTGCTTTTCTCAGCTCTGTGAGGGGAGAGGCACGAGCCTGGGATCACGTGCGCCTGGCCCACCGTGCACTGTGTTCGCCGACGTCGCCGACGATCGCACGGTCTGCGATGGCCGCAGGGGCGGCACCCCGAGCCCGGAGGCACGCCAGAGCCTCCGCACAACCTCCAGGGGACACCCGTCGTCGCTTGATTGAGCACCACCGCCAGCCAGCTCGGGCCAGACCCTGGTGTGCATCGGCTCCTGGTCTGGCCGCCAGGCCGCGCGCACACGCCGGGGCCCACCGCCGGCGCGTGCGAGCGGCCCACCCGGCGGGCCGCGGGCCGCACGCGCCTGGCGCCCCGCAGCCTCTCGGCCCACCCGCCGCCTCCGCAGCGGTTCGGCTCCGCGCCGCTGGCGGCGCGCAGCCTGGCGCCGACGGCCCAAAGGGCCGACGCACCTCGCGGCCATGCGCGCGGCGTGGGCGGAGCCCCTCCGCACCGCCGGGTCCGACTCGGAGGGCGGGGGCGCCGCCGGCCCCGCGCCGCGCGCCCGCGGCTGCGGGCGCGGGGGCGGCTCCGCGTGCGGGCTCGCGGGGGCCGCGCTGCTCGCGTACCTGGCGGCGTGCGCGGCGACCCACCGGCCGGAGCTGGGGCCCGAGAGTGCGGGGTGCTGCGTGGCGACCTACGAGCCCGCGGCGTGCGTGGCGGCGTGCCGGCCAGGCCCAAGCCCAGGTCGGCCAGCGCTGCGCTGGAGCCAGCTGTACAGCATGGGCGAGCTCGGCAGCGACCTGTTTGGGAACGCGCCGGGGCTGCCGGCCGGAGAGGGGCGGCTGCAATGGGGCAGGGTTACGCCGGGGGGTGGTTTGCGATCGGTGCCGTTGGGGCCCGGGGAGCACGACGCTGTCCTCGTCG